TATTATTTGATAAACAACTATAATAATAATTTTATCACTATAATAGAATAATTTTGACGGTATTTTATTATGAATTTAAAATTATAAGATAGAAAAGAAAATGTCGAAATAATTTATTTAGACTTTATGAATTTTTCGAGTAATGGGATTATCATAATTTAGTAATAGTTTTGAGCAATTTTCTTTTGATTTATATTAATTTTAATACAAAAAAATAGAAAGCAAAAATCAGCAAAAATATTGGATTGCATATAAAGTTAATTCATAAAAAAAATCATTAGTTTGACATTTGGTTATAATAAAAAATTAAGATAATAGTGATAATTTTACAGTTTTATTAGCAAAAATTTTTTAAAAAAAAGAGGAAGAAGTAGGAAAAAAGAATAAAAGATAATTTTAAAAGTCATTCTAAGTATAAACATACCAAACAAGGGAGTTTCATTAAAATATTTAAGGGTAGTATATTGTTATTTTAAATGATAAAGGAGGTATGTATAATTTTTAAAACTTCAAAAGACCTAATAAAATTATTGAAAACCTCAAGGGAGGTTTTTGAAATTATCCCTAACTGTTAAATGCCAAAGTTGACAGAACTTTTCAGTCGTTGAATGGTGGAAAATGGAGAGGAAATGACAGACTGTCATGGGCCACACGAGCTTTCTGTGCAATAATTGCTTCGCTAATCATACACGCAAGTGACGCAATGGCACTCGTTTTATCAGCGATATTATGTTGTTTCGTAAAAAATGCCCTTTCAAATTGGACTAACTTCACTTTGCATTCCCAAGCTTATACCACTTTTCCACTTATATTCTTAAATCTTTAATTTTGAATACTTTGCACCCTAATTCTCAAATTTTGTAGAATTTACATTCAATCAATTACAATGTTAGCAAAATTAATAATATAGAGGATCCTACAAGTCTTTTAAAAAAAATATGAAATACAATAAAATTCACGCTTTTATCCTTCTTAGCTTCAATACGTCATTAAAAGTTGTATACTTTAAGTAAAATCATTAAAAATATATTTAAATAAACTTTTTCGTCTCTCACGTTAGATTAAATTGCCGATTTTACATCCTTTACAAAATCAAGTCCATCAATTTTGATCCTAACCTAAATTCTTTAGCACTGTTTAGCCTAAATATACCATGTGACCCATAATTGGTCATTGTTTTAAGTACAAAAAGATCAAACCTCACTTTTTTTTTAGATAAAAAATGAATGTCGATTGGGTGATTTATTTAACTACATATGAGATCTGATCTTTATATCCCTAAAAAAATGCTACGTGTAGGTGACATGATGGGTTCAAGTTAAAATGTAACCAGAAACTTAGGTTGAGACTATGTGTTGGCCGATTCGTTTTTGTAAGGAACCTAAAGTCACCATTTTAAAAGTGTGAGGCAAAAAAATTCATTTGAAAAAATGTAAAGGATGTTTTGAACGATTTTTCCTCTGCTTTACACATATCACATTATCAGATCTCACTGTATTTGTTACCTAACCATAGTCAATGTTGAAAGAAAAAAACTCATGAAGAATATCTTGGATATAGGTCCTGCGTCGGGTTTTTATCCCATTAGTATGCCAATAGTAGGATAGAGCATGATGCATTCCCCTCCTCTTATTCCTAGTTATAAATAGAAGTTATTGGTTACTGGTAAATAGTAGAATAAAAATCATTTGGATTTTAGTCACAAAAGTGGACCTAATCGCATCAAATTTCACAATGGAAAGAAAAAATTCCAAATGAAACCCGAAAGGCAACCCGCACCCAGGACAAAAAAAACTGATAAACGAGACCCAATAATCTACATTAAGTTAACTTCATATTGTTTGACAAATAAAAAGGATCAGTTTATTGGTTTTAAACGGATATGCACTAATTGCGTGAACTTGACGTAGAAGACGATGAAAAAGGAACACTGCATAAGTCATCGATTTTCCAATTGCAGTCCAGGGCAAGGTTTCATCTCTCGAGTAGAAATGTGATACATGGGAAGAAATGACCATTTCCCTGTTTTTCTTTGTACGGAAAAAAAAGAAAAAAAAAGAATTTCCCTTTTTTCTGAACAACAAATTTTTTATCTATAATGCTTCAGTAATATACAAATAAAAATAATTTTAAAAACATCATATCCATACAATATATCAAAAATAATTTCAAATATATAAAAAAAATTTTAAAAATAAAATCCACGCCATCTTCTTTTTCCATCTATCACCACCCACACCCACCCACTATGGCCACCATTTTCCCCTTCCTCCACTTTTTTCCTCCATCCCTTTTCCCCTCTTTTCTCTCCCTCTCTTTCCTCCTCCTCTCCTTTCCTTTCCTTTCCTACCACACCCCGCCCTTCCCCTCTCCTCCCCAATCCAAGTAATCTCATCGAGGCCCAATTGGGGAGGACAGAAGGAAGGGAAGGGGAGGAGGAGGAGGGAAAGAAAAGACGGAGGGGTGGTGGCATTAATTTTTAAAAAAATACCTTAAAAAAAGTTTTAAACACCTTTAAGAATATTATAAAAATTTTTCATATACATTGTTATACTAAAATATTTTAAAAATACTTATAAAAATAGCTAATTCAAACTAAACCTTAAGTTTGGTGGTTCCTCTCGAAAGCCATGATCCATAGATGAAGTTTTCAACCCATATATCAGACGTTGAAAGCATTGCTAGAGCACAGGGCTTCACATGGCCACAATCACATATGAGATTTGTACAAAAATCACGTCTAGTTCTGAAACCTTGTCCCTCTTTGTGTAGGCAAGAAATTAGTGGATTCAAAGAATGTATAAGTAAATAAATATGGCCCCGGTTTCCATATGCCAAATTAGACAGTGATATCTGTAACAAGATTTTAGACTCTATTTGACAGAGCAATTCAACACTTAAATTTAATGGATTTAAATCTTGATGTATTCAGATGCGTTTGATAATCAAAACTAGAACATCTGAATATATTAAGTGGTACTAAATTTTATAGGCAAAATTTGCTTCAAAAAATAAGTCCCTGATTGATAATCCAATTCAGCACTTAAACTTAATGGAGTTAGATCTTAATATGTTTAGATACGTTTGATAATTAAAAATTGAATATTTGAATTAATTAAGTGCCACTGAATTTTCTAAACAAAATTTACTCTAAAAAATAAGTGATAAGCTATTCACTTATCACTGAATGTGATAAACACTCAAATGTATTAGATTTAATACTTAATAATTGAATAACTTAATAAATTCAAACTTCAGATTTCAAATTTCATTTTTCAGACTTCAGTTTTATCAAACGCACCCTAAGTGATAAGCTATTGATATACATTTAATGTATCAAATTTAGTACTTAACAATTCACTATCTTAATAGATTCAAACTTCAAACTTCAAATTTTAGTTTTCAAACTTTAATTTTATCAACGGCTTCTTAGGCATGGGTAAAATGAAATGTAATCTCATAAATTTTGCTGAGCTATTAACGAGTACAATTAGACCTCCTTTAGTTTGAATTAAAAAAAAAAAACTATATCTTCTTACAATGCAAAATGACAATGTATTACCTTTTCCACAGTCCTTACATTTTTTTTTGTTTTTGCTTGACACAATCCTTGCTTTTTTATGGACCAAATACTGGACTATGATATTCTGCATACTAAGAAACAAACTTATTACTAAAAACGTTCGCTTGTCTATATGCTTCATGGACCACGTAACTCTTACCTGTGTGGTAACATCAAAGTGAGACAGTGAATCCAAAATAATATCATGCTGGTGTGGTAGCTAATTTGTCAGGTATTCAATAGGATTATTCCAATTTGTCAATGTTTCCATCACATTTCTTACTTCAAAGTTCTCGAGTCAAGACAAAGGATTGCCAACATCAAGAGATCAAAAGCTTTGCCAGTTGGAAGCAATATTCAATAATTGAAGTATCCTTAAAAAAGAAAAGGTTAATCACAAAAACTCCCCCTAAGGTACGGCCATTTTATATTTTATCCCCTAACGTTATTTTTTCTCACTTTATCCCTTAAACTATTAGTCAATTCTAATATTGTGTAATACTGATGTTAAAAAGACATTTATACCCTCTAAGAGTTATCTACGGTAAATCCACTTAGAGTGTAGCTTGTTTTGCTGCTCATCTCCTAAACATCATTTTTTATCAATTTGTTTGTTTGTTACTTAAATCATTAGTGAACTGCAATATTTGATAACACTCAAGACAATTAATATCTAAGAAATAATATTCCTAACATAATAATAATAAATAATATTTTTATATTTATGATCCTAGTTAAATTTCATTCCATAATTGCACTTTTTTTTAGATTGAGGAGAATATCTTGTTAATTTTACTTAATACTGAGAAAAACAAAGAAAAATTGTTATTTAAAATGTAAAAATATTTTTAAAATTCAATAAATAAGCCGGATATTGTCAGTTTCTCTTTGGGAATGTGCAGACGGCTAAACTTTTCTTTTAGTAACAAGATTTCTTTTATACGGAAGTATACAAAGTTTTTATTTCTAATACTTAAAAAAAAAAAAAAAGAAACATGGTTGATTTGGAGTTCAAAGTTTCTGAAGTTATTGTTTTAATATACGATGCTCAAATGCTATTAATATTTATTTGGATTGCTAAATTTATCTAAAAACCTTTTTTCACAAATATTTTTCAACCACTTTTTTATTTCACAAATATCAAATTGAAAAAAGTGCTATTATTCTAAACAATTTTTCAAGTAATCTCCAATCCAAACAAACCCATCTGTAGATCTTTAATAATATTTTCTTATTTTAGTTTTGAACTAATATTTTTTCCCTTATCGCACGAGACAACCAGGATATCAATAGAAAAATGATATTAGAGGTATCAATGTCTTTTTGACATTCTCGTTAGGCAAGGCTAGAATTGACTAACGGTTTAGAGGATAAAGTGAGAAAAAATAATAATGTTAGGAGGTAAATTGCAAAAATGGTTAAACCTTATTTGGGAGGCGGGGGGTGGGGGTGTTTGTGATTAACACGAAAAGAAATCATGCTAGATAGACATGTTAATGTCAAAGAATCAACGAAGAAACATGTCGCCAGATTCCCTTTACTCTATCTTGCTCGGTCATGGGCCCCAAGTACATCAAGTCATCAAGAGAGTACTCATTTCTTGCTCCAAATCTAGCATGCTTTGACTTTGTCAGCTGAAATTTCCAGTCAGGTCTCCGAATCTTTGCTTTCAATTTTGTGATGAAACAGCATCAATGGCAGATCCCAGTGGCCAAGCTGTTTCAAGAAGGGAATCTTTGTATTTGATTTTTTTCACCAGTGTAATCTTTTTGAAAGGATTCAGACCTGGAAATGATGAATTAGTAGTCAACAATCTAATCCAGCGTGTAAATGGATCAATATACATATGGAACTTTACTAGTATATATTTGCACAAGAATAATTTTAAGATGATCATAATGAAGGAGCTTACCAAATCCATTAACAAGCAATGAGTACTCATAAACTAGATCCAAACATGTGAATGGCCTATCACTTTCATTGATGTTTGGAAATACAGATTTGATATCTTTATACTTTGTCCTGCAAGCACGCTTGGCTGCACTCAAGAAATGCAGCGGACGAGCAGTAGCAGAAGGTACATTTGTCTTGATAACACCAACCTGCAGCCAAAAGAGATTCTTCAGAATGGTAGTCTGCTGGCTACAGTCAATCAGAATTCAGGAACTATGGAGAAAAAGATTTTCTACCTGAGAAGCCCTGTCATAGAAGAATGATGCGACATACAGATTCTTCTGTCCATCTCCACCACCGCCATTCCAGACACCGTTGAACGTGCATTTCTTGTGCTTGCAGGGGGCATTGATCTTAAGTGCCTTCAGAACAAATGCCCTGCATTTCTTCATGTTTGGACCAGTCGGAAAAGCTGAAGCTCTATAGGCAACATCTCCGTAGGTATAGTATCCTTCAAGGAAGAAAGATTTTAAGTCAATGCCTCTTCTTTTTTCTTTTTTTTTTAATAATTACTTTCAGGTTGATTGAGCATCTCCAAGTTTCTACATTTCTGAATTTTTTATGGTTACTAAGAAACTGAGGATATGGCAACTTTCAATGGATATAAGAAGGCATAGCATTATGTGACTACCATGGTAACCATAGAGTATGCATGGATGACTCGAGTTTCTTGAAACCTTCAGAATCTCAGCACGAGCAGCTAGTAAACCATAGTTCAGGTAACTATACGGAAAAGTCCAGAATTGTAATGTTAAAACTATATCAATTGGATAGAATGGCAACTCCAAAAAGCAGGAAGCAAAAGATAATTGATCCAATGCTAAATAAGAAAAGTTTAATGCCTTTCAAGAAAGTGAAGTAAAGCAGAGCAACAGATTAAGGTATAATCACTTGAATCAAGAGACCATATTCATCTAATGGAGCAGCATACCTGTAAGCATAAAGGTGATATGTAGTTCCCAGAAGATTCTTTTCCTGAATATATGTTTCTTTCCCATTGGACAGCTTGGAGGCCTTTAGAGCTACTTCCTTTGACACAGCATATGTCATCTGTACTGATCCACCACCAAGATCAATTGTGCCAACAGTTTCTGAGTATTTTTTGCCTGCTGTTCCCAACAGATAATTTATGGCAGCCTAATATATTCAGAAGAATGCATATCAGTAGGTGTTTACAGAGGTGATGGAGATGTCAACCAAATATTTTAGTACCTATACTTTCGCAGAGAAAAATCAAAATCTTCTATTACAAAGTTTACCACATAGATATAAATATTTCTCATCATAATGCCTGATTAAGACACATGAACTAGAAGCTGCAAAATAAGTACAATAAGAACAACACAGAACTCACCCATATGTAGGCAGCTTCCTGTGAACCTTCAAGAATTGTCACCCACTCTGCCTTGTACTTGAGTGAACTTTCATTCTTCAACAAATCTCTTACCTTCAGTCAAAAAAAAAAAAAAAAACCATAATAATCTTGAGATTTGAGACACAAAAAAACTTAGTATGTATTTCTTTTTTAGAAGAAAAAAGTTTTTACAAACCAAGGGGTGGAAAGGAAGAGTCCATAAAAAGACTCTTGTTACACGAACAAAAGTATACAACCATATTTTACCGCTTGCAAAATCTTTTCTGAGGAGTCACCTTTCAACAGTCTAAGACCTGCAGTTGCCTGCCAATGCATTTTTCACAACACAGTATCAGGCAAAATTAAAGCATATTAGTAGCAAAGTGCTTAAATAGAATTACCTACCCCAACTTTAACAGGAGTATTAGCACGAAATTCTTTTGGGACAATTGCTTCAGCTTTTTCAAGCAAGGGCTTAAGAGATTGTGCAGCAGCTTCAGGGTCATCTGCATATGAACTCAGCCCTGGTTTTATCTACATCCCAAAATCATGAGTCAAAACAGAGGAAACATAAATCCAGGATAAAGAGCAACAGGGCTTTCCTTAAGTACTGCAAGAGGTGAAAGCAGAAATACAAAGAAACAGATGAATGGGATTCCACACCGCTTCAAAAAACTCAAAATCTTGGCCAATTTGAACCAAATCCAAGTTTCTATCAAAGTGCAAGACGTGGACTCTGCTGCCAGTACTTCCAGCATCAATTATGACTGCATACTTCCCTGACGCATCATTGCTGAGGAGTACACCGTTGGACAACTTACTGCTGAGTGATTGAGAGTAAATGGTTTGGAGGAATGGCATGCAAGAGACAAAAACGAAGGCAATAAGGTGTTGCTTCAGCATTTTCCACTATTTTCAATCAATCTTTTGACAAAACTGTTTCTCAATGCTATTCTCCTTATACAGTTATATCCTGCATTTCAGCATGATGATTGACATTAAAAATTATGTGGGACATTTGGCATTATTTTACTATTTATTAAAAAAAAAAAGAAACCACATTGCAGGAGAAAAAAGCATCTTTTTAAAAGTTTTTCACTTTTAATGCTTGGATTAGCAAGACAACTTACTCTTAACATATTGTTGGCGAAATGAAGGATAAGGGTAGCTTAGAAGCTCATACTGTACGAGTAAAAGATCACATGAATGTATATTAAGTCGGAATTTCACACCAATTACTCCAATGTTCTTTCACTTCTTTGGTTAGACCTTCTCCTCTTCCAACAAACATAAGGGAGAACAGTAGTGAGTGTAGTACAGAGAGAAAAGCTCAGAAGAGAACAACAATTACCAACTTGGAAAGTTTTGGGACGCGAAAGGGAAAATGGCGTCCCTAAATTTTTTTATAATGTCAGTTTGGTCCCTACTTAATTTTTTTGATCAATTTAATCCCTATACTTATTTATCAGTTCCAATTGAGGAACACTACTATGGCGCTACCACCATGTAATTTCGATCAAGCTTCTAATTAAGCACCTAAGTAAGGGTATTTCGAGTACTTCACAGCTGGGGCTATAAGATAAGAAGTAAAATTGAAGGAAAAATTTACCGAAACATTTTTATTAGTGAGAAAAACCCACCGAACTTCATTAAGCTATTAACATAACAAATCAAAGAGATTTAATTAGGGGGTAGTGATCTGGAGGTTCTATACAAGGTGGTGGTGATGATGGTGATGGTGGTGGAGGTGAGGTGGAGGCGAGAAGTGTACAACTGGCAGTGGAGGTGGCGAGTGTACAAGTGGTGGTGGGGCGGCGATGAGTAAATGTACACTGGTGCTGATGAGTAAATGTACACTGGTGCTGACGGTAGGGGTGAGTTTGGTGGCGGAAGTAGGGGTGAGTTATAATAGTAGGGGATAGGTGGAGGAGAGTTTAGAGGAGGTGGTGGAGGCGGCGGTGGGCGCACACAGTATGGCAGAGTCGGCGAAAGAGATGGAGTGGAAGGTGGAAGTGGTGAGATAGTTGGATGAAGAGGTGATGGATGATGAGAACATGAAGATTTGGATTCCCTTCAAATTCAAGAAAATTTGATTGATGGTTGATGGTGCAATCGAGTTTAAGAATCATTGAAGATTTGTCATGCTTATTTCTTGTTATTTATTTAAGTAAGTTTCCAGCAATACTTGTTAGTTAGTCTTGAGTTATTAAGGGAAATAAAGGCTAAAGTCATGTTGACCATAGTTAAGCCAATTGAGTCAGTTAGTTTCCTATTCTAATTGAATTAGAGTTTTAGAAAAGTAGTTAATTGCTTCCAAATTTATTTAGGAAGTTGTGTCAAGTCAAATTAGGAAGCTTGTATTGTTTCCAATTTAGATTAGGATTTTGAGTCTTGTAAGGCTATAAATAGCCAACTTTATTTAACTATTGAGGGATGATATTGAAGATGAATTAATAAAAACAGAGTTGTCTCCTTTTATGGAGTTCCTTGATGAAACTTGAGTTTCTTCTTGAACAGTATCAAGTATTTAGCTTGGATACTTGTGGTGTTCAAGGCAAGATGATCACATCATCTTGTTCTTTCAAGCCAATAGCCAATCCACTAGGTTTCTAGAGACGGGTTCTTTTTAGGTCTAGCAAGGTAGTTATTGTTCCTTAACCAATAACCAATCCACTAGGTTTCTAGAGACGGGTTCTCTTTAGGTCTAGCAAGGTAGTTATTGTTCCATAATCTGATCAAGATAGATCCTTCCGCTGCCTGATCGACTTGGTTCTTCAAGACAGGTTCTTGCTGGGTCGAGTTTGTATCATCTGGTATCAGAGTTTCGGCTCTTGTTTCAGGTTAATATCCTTTTCTTTTCTTTCTTTTCTGTTTATTTTTCTACCAAAACCCTAGCCGCCTTTTGATTTAAAAGAAACAAAAAAATAAATTTTGATTCTTGTTTTCTTGATTTTATCACTTGAGTCTAACCTATCCTGTGATTGATCGAGGTTGAAATTTTTTGGTGTGATTACGTTCTTGAAAACAGGTTTTTCAAGGGTTTAACTCCCATTAAATTTCTTCCAAGTGAAGTCGTAACCTTGTGTTGAGTCGTCAAAAGCAAAAAAATAAAAAATAAAAAAAATTCGGAACTGCTCACGACGGCACTATTCATCGGCACTGTTCATATCTGTATCAGTACTGTTCATAACTGTATCAGTACTGTTCATCGCGACGTAATAGTACTGTTCATGTAATAGTACTGTTCATCCGAATTTTTTTTTTTTTTTTCCTTGTGTTTGTTTCTTGATACTTTGAAAACCCTAAAAATCATCCTCTTGAATCTTGAAGTGCAGCTACCTTATTTTCTTGAATTGGCAAGTTAGAAAAACAAAAAAAAAAGAAGAAAGAAGGAAAAAAAAAGGCAGCCTTGCCATGAATGGTTTCCAAATCTTGATTGATTTCCAAATCCTGATTGGTTTCCAAATCTTGATTGATATCTTGATTGATTTCCACATCTTGATTGATATCTTGATTGATTGCCAAATCTTGGTTGATTTCCAAATATTGGTTGACTTCCAAAGAACCTACCGATCTAACCATTCCCAAAACACTCCCAAACCCGCTACAAAGACCTATCCTACATTTTAGCCACCACTTCTCCTACTTTTTAGGGTTGTCCTTAGCCCATTCATCTTATCCTCACATTCGGCCATCTCTTCCTATATTTTAGGGAGTTAGGCCGCCACTTGTCATCCCTTTTCAGGAGAGCAATTCGGACAAACAAAGACAAGAAAAGGCAACCTTGCGTTGGATTTGTAAATTGAGAAGGATTTGGAATCTTGTTTCCAAATTCTTGATTTCTAATTCTTGTTAGACTTGGTTCATATTATCAGCTGCCAAAATCCAAAAATTGAGTTCCAAACTGAACTTCAAAATTCTAGCCAAGTACAATTGGGTGAAGATATTCTTTGACAAATGGAGCATGTGCAATGGTTCGTGTTCATAATCAAGTTGACTTGGCGACATGCATCTTGGATTGCATTTATCAAGACATTCTCCGAGTTACTCCTTTGTAAGCAAGCACTCGATTTGAGGACAAATCGTCTTTCAAGAGGAGAGGAATGATGAGAACATGAAGATTTGGATTCCCTTCAAATTCAAGAAAATTTGATTGATGGTTGATGGTGCAATCGAGTTCAAGAATCATTGAAGATTTGTCATGCTTATTTCTTGTTATTTATTTAAGTAAGTTTCCAGCAATACTTGTTAGTTAGTCTTGAGTTATTAAGGGAAATAAAGGCTAAGGTCATGTTGACCATAGTTAAGCCAATTGAGTCAGTTAGTTTCCTATTCTAATTGAATTAGAGTTTTAGAAAAGTAGTTAATTGCTTCCAAATTTATTTAGGAAGTTGTGTCAAGTCAAATTAGGAAGCTTGTATTGTTTCCAATTTATATTAGGATTTTGAGTCTTGTAAGGCTATAAATAGCCAACTTTATTTAACTATTGAGGGATGATATTGAAGATGAATTAATAAAAAGAGAGTTGTCTCCTTTTATGGAGTTCCTTGATGGAACTTGAGTTTCTTCTTGAACAGTATCAAGTATTTAGCTTGGATACTTGTGGTGTTCAAGGCAAGATGATCACATCATCTTGTTCTTTCAAGCCAATAGCCAATCCACTAGGTTTCTAGAGACGGGTTCTTTTTAGGTCTAGCAAGGTAGTTATTGTTCCTTAACCAATAACCAATCCACTAGGTTTCTAGAGACGGGTTCTCTTTAGGTCTAGCAAGGTAGTTATTGTTCCATAACCTGATCAAGATAGATCCTTCCGCTGCCTGATCGACTTGGTTCTTCAAGACAGGTTCTTGCTGGGTCGAGTTCGTATCAATGGAGGAGGTGAAGATGGCGATGGAGAGATGGAGGAGGGGGAGAAGGTAGAGGAGGAGGTGGTGGCGGAGGAGGAGAAGGTGGAGGGGGTGAGGGAGGAGGAGGTGGCAGAGAATAAACTGGCAGTAACGGAGAAGGCGGTGGAGAATGAGAGTAAAAAGGTGGCGGTGGGGGTGGTGAGAGTGATAGAGTGTTAGAAAATTGGATTAATTTCTTTTAGACAGGTTTCTTGTTTTGTGTGGAAGTAAATAGTTTCCTAATTGGTTTTAGTTACTTGAAATAATAGTCAAGAAATTTTATATTTTATTTAGGATTAGAAGTTATTTTCTATTCTATATAAGTCTAGGAATTAGAATTGGTTTCCTATTATTATTTGGATTTTGGTCAAATAATATTATCTATAAATAGGTGGGTTGACATACTATACAAGAGACACACAAGGAGCACAAAAGGGCAACATGTAGCCTTATACATGGGAAGTGAGAGAGGGTTCTTGGGAGATGAGAGATGGTATACAAGGGTTGGATTTGGGTTTAAATTGTATTCTTGTATAGTGTTTTCCTCTCATAATAAAGAACAAGTTTCTTTCCGTGGACGTAGGTTCAATGGTGGAGCTGACCTACGCTAAATATTGTGTGTTATTTATCTTTTATGCTTGTAACTTGTTTATCATTAAATTGTTGTGTACTTGATATCTCAATAGTTGTGTGTTCCGCGCTTGGATCCTAACAAGCAGTATTAGAGTTTGATTGCGAAACTGGGCTGCTTACAAGTACTTGGATCCCAACAAATTAAATAGTTGGATTAAAAGATTGGTTATTTATGATTGGATCCTAGTTAACTATTGAGATCAAGTGGGTTGGTGGCTGTTACCCATTGAACAATTTAATGAGTGATATCTTTATTTCAATAACTTGGCAAAAAGCATTGATGGTGAAGGATGGAAAGCTGAAAAGCATGGAGATACTTGACGGTGAATCTCGACAGGTGATTCAAGAGTTAAGGAAAAGGTGGAGTCCAATGTTGATTTTGGACGTGAATCGGTGGAGACTTGCTCACACCTACAACGGTTGATATTTCATCCTGATGAATTTTAGATTTTGGTTATGTTCTTTGGGTGGTGTGGTACATGTCCCAAAAAAATAAAGAGATCTAATTTTTATGCGCTAGAAGACTCTGACAGTTACTATTTTTTTTGTTTTAGGTGGAGTTTTGGAAACCACATGTGACGAGACAGTCCTGAAAATGAGGAAAAGTATGACGATTTTATCACTTGGTGGTCTAAATGATTAGAGTTAGAGTTCACAGAAGGGGATTCCGGGTTGTAAGTGGTGGTGAGAAAAAA